TTCTTCTTGCTCAGCTTCTTTAGTCTTACAAATTTTATTATGATTATCTTATATTATATTCTAGTATCCCTTTATAAGTGTGTATATACCATATGTGTCTTTCAAACAATTATTAATAATTTGAGTTTAAAGATAAGTATTTTTTCTGATTTAAAATGTTTTCAAAATTATGAGATGATAAAATTTTAAGACAGGAGAAAACAAATAGTAGTAATTATTTTATAGAAAAAAATCAGATTCTTATAAAAAGGTTGAAAATCTAATCATTAGGGGTAAAACATACTGACCACCTTTGTTCTCTTGTTTAACCTTGATTCCAGAGGCACCAGGCTCAACTGATAAATTTCTTAACACTGAATGAAAATGAGGACATTCACAGTATAGCCGTAACTCAGAATGAAAATGAGGATGTGGCCACTCCCAGGTATGGTTGAAGAGGTTTTTACTGCAGATAGGAAGGAGAGTTCAGCCACAGGCATCTGGAAGGGTCTAGACTGAACTGGGCCATGATGGGAGGGAAAGGTATGAAGAACCAGAGAGGAATAGGAGAGAGAGAGAGAGAGAGAGAGAGAGAGAGAGAGAGAGAGAGAGAAAGAAGAGGAGAGAGGACAGAGGATTGAGAAAGAAGCCTCAGATCAAGAGGACCAAGAGAGTGTGTGGTCAAAATGGCAGGTTCACAAATAGGAATGAGAAGCTGGGGGAGGGAAGTCCAGCCCGTGGGCTGGAGAGGTTGTAGGTGGGGCTGGGGTGAGAAGTGCTGCAAGGAGCCACAGGTACTTAGCAAGACTTGTCCAAGGTTTCTCTGAGACCTGACAAACACATTAGAAGCAAATGTGAAAAGTTCTTGGAACTGGAATTAGAAGTATTTGGACACTGCAAGTGATTGGCAGTATATAATAGACTAAAACAACAAAAATAACAACAGAATATCCTATCACACAACTGTAATAAAAATAACCAATCAAAGCAAAGCTGAGGAAGGAGACTCTGCAGTTAGAGGCTAGCCTGGGCTATGTAGTAAGACTGTCAATAAATAAACAAACAAATGCTGATGATAAAGTTCTAGATAATTCTAGAACAAAATAAATAAATGAAGAAAATTAAGGAAATAAAGTTTTAAAAATATAATATAATAAGATAAAACAAAACTAACACATTAGAACTGTACAAAACAAACAAACAAACAAACAGGAGGAAAAGAGCTAAAGATAAGGCACAAGAAACAGAGACTCACTTGTTCCTACCCAGGAATCCCTTAAAAACACTAAAATGAAAGCCATAATATATATGCAAACACCTGTAGGGTAAAAAGAAAAAATAAATTGTATTTATGAAATAAAATTAAAAAAGTCAAAAGTAAGATAAAATTTCTAAAGTGTGTGTGTGTGTGTGTGTGTGTGTGTGTGTGTGTGCACGCGCGCGCGCGTGCGCGCGCCCTGCCATGGTATTGTGAGACAAGGAACCTCCAAAAATACTGTTGAGTTCATTTTCTGTTGTCATCTGCTGGGCATGCAGCCTACCCTTAAGAGTAATTAGAAAACAACACTTACTTAAGTATAAAAATTTAAACAAGCCAAGTGGTGGCAACGCCTTTGATCCCAGCACTCAGGAGGCAGAGGCAGGCAGATCTCTGAGTTCAAGGCCTGCCTAGTCTACAGAGCGAGTACCAAGACAGCCAGGGCTACACACATAGAAACCCTAAATTTAAAAAAAAAATGCCTGGAGGAAAGAAAAATCTAACAGTACAGGGAACAGTTGTACTGTTTACTCAAATTTATCAGTTTTGAACATTTCAATGTATTGATTGGCTTTAATCTATTTTATTTCTTCTAGCCACTTTGAAACAGGCTGTATAGATCAGGCTCTCTTCCCCACACATTATGTTAAATTACTAAGATAAATATTCCTTTAGGTACCGACACAATTACCAAATGTAGGATCTATGTTTATCTAATCTATGGCCTATATTCCAATCGCTTTAATTGTCCCAATAAACATTTTACAAGGTTTTCCCTTTTGGCACAAGTTTCAACTTAGAATCATGTCTTAACTCCAGTGACCAAGTCTCCTTAGTCCTTTTTAATCCATAAAGCTAGGTACTTCCTCCTTTTGTTTTTCTTTTACAAAAAAATCTAGCTGCTCATAAACTTTTTACCTACCTCTTCTAGGTATCCCTTGATGATATTTGCTCTATCTTTACCATGTTTGTTGCCAACTGGTGGGTTTTTTGTTTGCTCTTTGTTTCCAATCTGCCCTCTTTGGATTCATTAGTAGGAACCAAATATTAAGGGAGGAGCTGTCCTCTTGCATCCTTTTATTTGTCTCTCACTCTATTATTACTAAAGATTCCTGGGTTCTTGTTCAGTTCAGTGGCTTATAGCCCACTGTCCTTCTTTTAATATCCAATTATCCCATGGTCAGCCATTTTGAAGCCCTTCAAGCTCTTGGCATGCACCTCTTTATTTCCTGGCACAACCTTACTTCCCAGCACCAGATGTTCCAGATCATCTTGTACCTTTCTTCTCTCACCCTGAATTCAGCCATTTCTCCATAAAGTCTTGGTTCCTTTTATTGGAAAAACATATTTAGAAATCAAAGTAGAAGTGATTCTTTAATTTTGTAGTTATTTTTAACCACAAAATAAAAAATATATATTTAACTTTTTATTTATAGTTGATTTAGCTGGTCGTCTTTGCTTCCTTTGTGATAAAAGAAAGGAACATTTAAGGGTTTGAAATTTTTTATTTATTTGATTATGATTATTTTTGGCCATAATTATTGGGAAAGAACACACACATACACTACAAAAGCAACTAAGAACTTACTTCTAGATGATACTGAAATATAATAGCTCCTCAAAAAGAATTTGTGGGGGGGTTGTAGCTCAATGTTAGAGTGCTTCCCAGAATGCACAAGGTTTACTGTTCAATCCCCAGCACTACAACAGAGAGGAAAGCTTTGGGGGTCTGCACGGATTTAAAAAGACTATAATTTATAAAACCCTGAAGATAAATTTTATAAAGGATGGGAGTCTCTTTCAAAATCATTTGGAAGAAATTAAACCAAAGATTTATGGAATTGCATTTCATCTACTCAGATGCCTGTTATAGGACATATTTTACTTTTCACAGCAGTGTAATAAATTGAGCCTACTGTGGTAACACCTGGAATTGTTACTTTTATGCATGTGATAAAAATAGATACCTAGGAAATGCTTGAAAGTATGTCAATTTATATGTTAGCTGAATGAAATAAAACATTCTCTCTCTTGATAGCATGGAACTTTCAATATAACGTAATTTTGCTATACTGAAGGCAGAATAGAGATGTTTTATGCTATGGCGTGAAGAGAAAAACCAAATCCATTTCTTTTCCTATACAATATTTGCATAGAAATCACATGGGACTATGAAAAACCAGATTTCTGAGCACCATTCTAGTCCAATGAGTGTATCTTATGATCTAGGAATTTGTGTTATTTTAACATGAGCCAGGCATAGTGGTGCGTACCTATAATCCCTGCACTTGGGAGGCGGAGATAGTAGGATACCACGAGTATGAGAACACGGTGGGCACTGTGGCCTATATAGAAAGACCTTGTCTCAAAAAAAAAAAAAAAAAAGTCTCCCCAGATAACTGAGAGGCATTTGATCATCAAAGTGACTTTGTAAGTAACTAATGGCTTGGGAAGAAAAAAAAAAAAAAAAAAAAAAAACTGTCTTGGTGGAAGTCTACTTCTTCTCACATTTATTTACATATTATTATGTATGTGGGGGTGGTATGTGTTATGGTATGCATATGGATGGAGGTTAGAGAACGACTTGTTATGATCCTTCTGCCTCATCTCTCCAGTGGTTATAGTCATACGCCATTGTGCCTAATTTAATCATTGCCTTGCTTATCTTGATGAATTTTTATTTGTTTGGTTTGGTTTTTCAGACATGATCTTATATAGCCCAGACTGCCCTCAAACTAAGTAACTAAGTATAGCTTTGAACTCCTGATCCTCCTGCCTCCATCGCTCAGATGCTGCAATTTCACTTATATGTCACCACATCCGGCTACATGTTTTAACACTTATATATTGATTTTTTCCCTTGTTCAAATAAAGAGTTAATTTAGCTATACTTATGTCCTGTGAGCCTCCAGAATGTTCTATGGCATTTATGACACAACTTGAAATTTCCAATTATCAGAGCTACAGACATGCTTCTAAAAGAAGGGCAACATACACCAAGCACCTATTAATATATAGGGAAGACTTTTCCTCCCTATCTGCCCTTTTTTTTTTCTTTTTTTTTTTTTTTTTACAGTTCCTGTATGTATGTATGTACTACAACATGAATCTGAAGGTCAGGAGACAACTTGTATTAGTCACTTCTCCTTTCACCATGTGTCCTGGGACTCAAATATGGGTTATCAGGCTTGTCACCAAGAACCCTTACCTGCTGAATCCCTCTTTTTCATAATTTGAGAAGTTTTAAGTAACCCACACTGGACTCTAAGTTTCAAGTGCTGGGAGACAAGTTGGGGAGTGTCTGGAAGGAGTGAGAAGGGACAATTGAAGGTGGATAGGATTATATACTTATATGAAATTGTCAAAGAATAAATAAAAGATGCTTTTTTAAAAAGTGTGAGCTTCTGGGCTCCTGGGGAGAATCTCGTTATCACTTTCTCACTTACCAGAGAGCAGGGTTTACATAGAGGCATAGAGGAGGTGCGTTTTGACAACAGAGAAACAAAATCAGCAAAAAGAATACCTGAAGGATCCTGCAAATCCCCTGGCTTTCCCGCCTAAACAGCGAGGGGGTGGGGCTGACACGTAGGCGGGACCGGAGGGCAGGGCGGGCCCCAGGCGAGGGCGGAGTCTTGAGTTGGGGCGGGACCCAAAGCGTAGGTGGGTCCTAGGGAAGGGCGGGGTTGCTTCTCCGCCCCTCCCCATTCTTTTTTCCCTTCCTCGGTTCCCTCCCTGCTACGTTTCGCCAAGATCCCGACAGTCCCAGCGGCTAAGGGAGTCACGTGAGAGTGGGCGGTGGACGCAGAAACCAGGCTTCTGCGTCTCTATGGTTGTCAGAGGTGGCCGGCATTTCCCGAGTTGCTGCTGAAGCTGGAGCGTGGACGGGTGAGTGCGAGGACTCTGATCGCTGTGCGGAGACAGCGGTTTAGGGGAGGGGAAACGGGTAGGGGAAAGGGACGAGCCTTTCGCTGGCTCCGAGAACCGGACACTTTTCAGGTCCTCCGGGGACTTGGTGATGCTGGCGGTGGTTCGTTGAGGGGACTCTCGGTCCTCTGCTCCCTTCAGCCCATCCTTATCCCTGACCGGAGAAATTGTAGTGCCGGGCTTCCAGCCTCAGAGTGCATCCTCTTCACCCGTGACCAGGACACAGACGTAGTCCTTACTGGAATTCCTGGATGCGGTCCGAAGTGGTGGAGGAGTTTACAGCTGCTTTAGAAAGATAGATATATTTATCACGGACTAGAGAAACGGGGGAAATGTTTGGCTCCTTAAAGAAGCAAAACAAACCGCAGACTTCTGGGACTGTTTCGTTTTTAAACTCACCAGCGACTTTGCGTTCTCCTTCTCTCTCTTTCTCTGCGTCCGGTCCCGTTCCGGGCTACCCACACAACGATTCGAGAATTAGCCAGGTAGTACTGATTATACGTGAATGTTGGAAGACGAGTTTAAGACGGACTGTTTTATAATAATAAGCTGTCACCTTGTAAATCTTAGCGTTTGTCTTTTTATTTCATTTTTTACTGTCCCTTTCAGGTGCTTGAAGTGCAAATATTTGTACATGTAAAAAAGAGTAAACATTTTATAACTAAGACTAAATAATTTTCTTCCAGCTATGCTTCGGAAAGACTTTTTTTTTTAATGTTTGCTTATAAATAGATGTTTTGATCTCACCTTTGGAGTGGCTCCCTTGATAAACCTCTGTTTACCTTGAAGCAGCCATTAAGGCCAGGTGTGGTGGTGATGTAGCAGCATTAGAAAGGAGTTTGTGCATGAGATCAAACAAGTCCAGAGTTGATAGCTGTTGGGGAGTTTGGGTTTACTGATTGTCAGCATCTTGAGACACAAACAAACAAACAAGCAAACAGCTTACATGACTATCTTGATTGTTTTCTGGTGTGGACAACGTGGGGCTTGTCTAGACATCCTAAAGAGTCTGGAATGCCACTTATCAGGGAAGGTGTTCTGGCCTCCAGCTACTTTGTTTTGTTGGGTTGCTTTTGATTTTTCGAGACAGGGTTTTTCTATGTAGCTTTGGCTGTCCTACTCACGTTGTAGACCAGGCTATCCTCAAACTCACAAAGATCCTCCTGCTTCTGCCGCTGTGAGTGCTGGGAGTACAGGTGCACACCACCACCACCCCGACCTGGTTTGTTTTTCTGAGACAGGATTTTTCTTCCCCTGTCACTCAGTTTGGCCTTAAAGTCTGAATTCTGCCTCAGCCTACTCAATAGTGAGTGCAGTTACAAGCCTGACCACCTTGCATGCCTTAATAGCTTCTGTTCCCACTTCTCAGAAATCTCTGATTCTCTGTTCCAAGATGTCATCCTAGCTGCCTACCAAGAAAGTGTCATCAACGCCTCAGTTTCTATATAGGAGGTCATAAAATTCAAAATAATAGCAGAAAATGAAGATTCAGGAATGGGTTGTATGCCTGGAGAGAGCGATAGAAACTAATAAAGGCTGGCAAAGGCAAGAGAATCACTGACTTTATTGTTGTCTTCCTATAGTCTCATGGAATAGTTATTATATTTAATCAGTCAGTCAGTCAGTCCGTCTGTCGAGACAGTGTTTCACTGTGTTGCCCAAGCTGGCCTTAAATCCCTGGACACAACTGACCCTGCCTCAGGCTCCTTCACAGTTGAAACAGCAGGTATGTGCCACGGTATTCAGCTTCATTCATTATGCTTTTTAGGCTTTTATATTCTCAAAAAGTCCATTCTAAGACTTGCTTTCTAATAATTAAGAAAAAAAACTAATAATATACAGTTTCTCCCATAATTGAATAGCACATTAAATAATTATAGCTGTTATATTTAACTGAATTACTTCAGAACTTTTTTATCATTTAAAAGACAAAAGTAATTAATGAAGCTCTGCTTTCCACCCTCACAGCCTGAAATGTAGTGGTAGTCTTCTGCCTCAGCCTCCTCAGTGCTGGGATTATACGCATGTGCCCCAAGCTGGCTAGTAAAGCCTTTCTTAGATGTAACTTTTTCACTTTTAAATATTGAAGTTTTAGCTTTTGAACAGTTTTTACAGTGTTGAAAGCGCAGGCTAAATATTATCCATTTTCCCTGAAAGAGTTATGTGATATACCTCCTTCTTTTATGTAAAAATCTTTCTTTTAAAGGATTACCACAGCATTTCCCCATCTCAGAGTAGGAATAGCTTCCTTTAGTGAAAAAAAAAAAAAAAAAAGAGATGATTCTTTTCAGACAGGTGTTCAGTCTACTTTAGTGAGAAAAAAATGTTAATTCTTATAAAAAAAAACACTAAATGTTACTATTTGGATGTGTTTGGGAAGCCAAAGCATTATCTTTAAATGTTTTGTTTCTTATAAAAAAATGTATTTTGTTAAAAAATGGAAATATTACAAAAAATGTAGCCTTGGGCTGAGTATGGTGGTGCACGCCTTTTCTCTGAATACTCGAGAGGCAGAGGCAAGCAGATGCCCTTTGAGTTTCACACCATTGTGGTCCACATAGTGAGTTCCTACATAGTGACACCAAGTCTCAAAGAGGAAAGGAAGAAAAAGAAAAAAATTGTTCATACACACACATAGTCATAGTTATAATCAATCTGTTACCTTGCCCACAGGTAATCATTTTCCTTTTGGGATGTAGTTGGGAATACTAATAGGAAAATAATTGAAACTTGGCCTCATGCTCCCTCGGAAAGCCTACCAGCAGGTTTCCACCCTGCAACCAACTTAGAAACCCCAGAAGATATCTTCCTGTCCTCTCTATGCCCAGCACATTTCTGTACATTGGCCAGCAATGCCAGCTTGTGCCTTTGTCCGTCCTGGAGGCTCTCCCTGCTGCCAGGGTGATCGAAAGCTTCCTGTGGCCAGGCTCGGGCTTCTTTCTTACCATAGGCTAGGGGAAAGAAAAACGTGGTCTCACAACACAGAACGTAATGGTGGGGAATATTTAGTTCCTAAAGGAAAAATGATTGCAGTATTATGTCCTGCTAAAGGGAGAATGATCGTATGAAGGTAAAAGCAATAGCAAAATACAAGTGTTTGTATTTTAACTTAAGAGGTCTTGTTTTCCTTTGAGGTATAAATTACTTGTATTTTTAGTTTGTGTGTTGATTTTTGCTTTTTAAAATATCTGTTATTAACTTGAAAATTTGAAGTTTGAGCCCTTCCTTTGCATATATATGTAATGTTATTACATGCATAGTGTCTTTGTTCTGGAGTATTTGTTTCTTTTTTATATTTATATATTTTAATTTTATGTGTATGGGTATTTTGCCTCTATGTATTTCTGTGCACCATGTATGTGCCTGGTGCTGTAGAGGTCAAAAGAGGACATCAGATTCTCTGGAATTCAAGTTACGTGTATCTGTGAGCCATCACGTGGGTGCTGGGAACTGAACCCAGGTCTTTAACAAGAGCAATAAGTGCTCTTAACTCATGAGCTGTCTTTCCAACCACCAAGTATTTGAGCCTTATAACAATATATTGTAAACTTGGCCGTTTGTCTGATATTTTTCTTCAGTACATGCTCTATTATTGAGCTATAACTTATAGGCTGAGCTCAATAATTGTTTGTACATTTTGTATCGTAGGTTAACTTGAACTTTACTACAGCTTATAAGTAGTGAATAAAGATGTTTTAAATGCTTGAAATCCGTGATCAATAAGATTAAATTCTAGGTTCTCTTCATTATTCTGCTTAAAAGCCACGTGGTGTGAAGACTACTTCGAGTTGAGCATTGCATGAAAAATAAGCACTATAATTCACTATTTGCTGTCAACTTGATATTAACTTTAAAACTACTTAACAGTGTCTTGTTTTCTATCTTTTTATGGTTTTTTTTGTAATGATTCATTATATTTTAAGAGGGACTATAATTAAAACCATGTACTGTTTACTGTCTTGTTTTCAGTCGAGAGAAATGTCAGCAGCTCAGTCCAGTGGGTGCTAGCTGTGTACTAGCTGCTGACACTGGTGGTAGGTGTTCAGATGAGGTTCGGGCTAATGCCTGACTCCATCACCTCTTAACGGGGAGCTGGGTAATCCCTGTGAACCTGAGTTTGTCCTATTGCACATGGAAGTGATGATGCCTTCCCTTGCGTGGACAAGGTTAATTAGTACATAGCAAGTGCATGTCATGTATAAAATTCTAATCACATGTAAGTGTTAATAATAACAGAAATAATGTCTTATGTGGTTTTATTCTTCTAATTTTAGAATTTTTGTCTCAATTGTGAGTGTGTTTAAAATATGTAGATGCCTAAGCAAATGAGATTGCCCTTTAGATTGTCTTCATTTGAAGGTGCTTGAATTTCATGTTATGTACGTGTCAGCAAGCTGGAAGATTTGTTAAACCACTTATGAAGGAAGTGCTCAGGTATATTTGAAGAATCCAAGAGTGATAACTGATGTCCTAGTTTAAAGAGGGCTTTATGTTTTTAATTTATATTTATATACGTGTGTGTATTTGTGGGCGTGCCCACCCATGCTCCTATAAAGAAGTGATGCTTTCAGAACAGGATATCCTGGATACTTGCAGGTAAAAGAGATAACAGTGTAAAACATAGCTTAAAAAACAAAAGTCAACAGTGGAATTGGAATTGGAGAACTATGAGACATGACTAACTTTAAATGTAAATAGTCACCAGGCATTGGGAAGTTAAATCTTGTTACATATAGAGGTATGCTAGTTCACTTTTTTTTTTTTTTTTTTTTTTTTACAAATTTAAGTATTTTCTGATCTAAAACTAGCAAGTTCAAAGTGAGTTTTGCTATTTGAAATTGAAACTTGTAGGGCTCATGGGTTAAGAGTACTGGCTGCTCTTCCAGAGAACCCAGGTTCAGTTCCCATCACCTACATGGAGGTTTGCATCTGACTCTATTTCTGGGGTCCAACATCTTCTG